TTCATGTGGACCTCAGGCGTCCTTCCTCAGGAGCTATACACCTTGTTTTTTGATACCAGGTCTCTTTCCTGGCCCAGAGGTCTCCAAGTAGGCTAGGCTGGCTGGCCAACAAGCCCCAGGAATCTACCTGTTTGCGTCTCCCCAGTGTTGGGACCACCGGCCACACACCATGCCTGGTTAAGAAGTTTCTTGCTTTGAGGTTTGGATAATGAAAACAAAGGGAAGGCTTCACAAAGTCACAAGGAAAGGATGTTTTCCAGCCCTGTGTGGCTATGTGACGTGTCACCTCACCCTGAACATTTCTAAGGGTCCTTTGTGCAAATCAGTTTTCCATTTTACCGGGGTTAAGTCCCACCCCAGCTTTTCAACACCCGGACATGGGCAGAGAATCTGAGCTGAAATTAAGGAGCAAAGAAAGGTGAGCCCCTGGCCTGAGTAAGGTAAATCTGGATCTAAAGGTGGCATGTAAGCAGGAGAGATGTCACGAGAGATTAGCAACCCCGGACCCCAAGGAGGGGACAAAGCCTTCCAGTGACCACTTTTGGGCCTCAGCTCCACAAGGGCCTTTAACTGTGCGTTTATGGAGCCCACACACAGCTCTTCAATGCAGGGCTGAGAAGGTAGTTTGGCCATTCTTTGTGTTTTGTCTCTCTTCCTTTCAAGCCAAAGTGACTGGCTCTACCAACTTTTTTTTAAGATTTTTTGTTGTTATTTTTGTATGTGAGTGTTTTGTCTGCAAGTATATATGTGCACCACATGCATGCCTGATGCCTGCAGAGACCAGAAAAAGGCTTCAGATCTCCTGGGACTAGAGTTACAGATGGTTGTGAGTCACCATGTGGATGCTGGGAATCAAACCCAGGTCATCTGTAAGAGCAACATGTACTCTTAACTGCGGAGTCAGTTCTCCAGCCCAGAATAATGAGAATTGTTTCTACATCGAAGTTTCTCTGGTAATGTCGTCACCTTTTTTGCTATATACTCAGGAGAGAGGGCCCAAACAAATCATGTTGGCTCTTTCCAACAGACATCTGATAGTAATCTCTTCAAGGGCATTAGTTTCTCCTAATTTAAAAATGTATTTACTGTATGTATATGTATACATATTTGTTGTGATTATAGGTGGTCGAGTGTGTAGAGGTCAGAGGTCAGCCTCATGTCATTCCTCAGGAACTTTCCATCTTGCTTTTTGAGACAAGGTCTCTAATTAGCATGTGGGGCTCAGTGAGTCAGGTTGACTGGCTAACCCTGTGCCCAGCTTTTTACCAGGGGGCTAAGGATCAAACTCAGGTCCTCGTGATTGCAGGACAAGCAGGTAAGTGACAGCATCATCTCCCCATACACAGGAGCATTGGCTTCTGTGGTGAAAACCTGCTTTGCTTTTTCTTCAGTGAGTGGTCCAAGATAGAACAAAATTGATAACGCTGAAGAACCCATAACTCAATTAAGTGTTCAACTCTGTTGTTAGGACTTTTAAACAGGTGTCAGTTACCAGGTTGTCACTCATTCTAGTGTGGTTTCAGTCAGCCTGAACCCCACATTCCTTTGGTTGGCAATTGTCAGGACCCGAGACCAGAAGCGTCAGAGACTGTGGTGTCAGTGGCCGTCTAGAATATAAAGGGCACCATGCTCTAAAACAAGGATAAAATCATTTCCTGTCTATGCTAACCGATGGTGGCAGAGTCCCGTGGGCCAGAACTGAGCAGCTTTGAGTCTCTCTCCTTAGTTTAGTAACAAACCAGATAATATTTGCAGGCGGCAGATTGAGATAAGGCATTTCTCAAACTGCCAAGAAATAAAATTAGAACGGGTGACTTTTAGCTGGTGGCTTGAAGTGCATCTGTGTCAGTTTGTGTGTGGCATGTGAATATATAGTCATTTCTTCTTCCCGTCAGCCATTGGGAGGGGCAGGGGGTGCACATGCACCTGTGGGCAGACAGATGCACATCTGGCTTTCGTATCAAAAGGGCTGCTTTAGGGACTGGGATTGTGGCCCAATTGGCAAAGCCCTGGGTTCTATCCCCAGACCACACCAGCTAGGCATGGTGGCACATGTCTGTATTCTCAGCATTCGGGAGGTAGAGGCAGGAGTGTCAAGGAGTTCAAGGTCATCCTCAACTACATTAAGTTCAAGACCAGTAAAATCCCGTTTCAAAAAGCCCCAAATAGTTCAAATGGGGGAGCGGCAAGCCTGTCATGAAAGGCTTAGCTCTCTGGCCTTCCTGGAGCCCTGCTGTAGGCTGCAGAGATAGTTGTTACCTCCTTGCTTCCTACAGTTGGTTTGCTCTTGAGGCCAGCCTTGTACCAAGAGGGAGGCTTGGGCAGCCCAGGGGCTGCCTGGACTTGGGCCACACTGACCCATGAAGCACCCTACTGTCCTCGTCTCTGCTATGGTCCCCATTTCTGGGCCCTTCAGTTCTGTCATCATGTGACCTCCCCCAGCATCTCTCTCTCGGTCCTCTGAGTGGGGCTTTATAAGAGAGGAGCTGACTGGTAAGCTCAGGCTGCCCTTGAGCTTGTGATCCTCCTGAGTCACCACACCTGGCACTCATAAGCCATCCGAGTGACACACGTGTCCATCAGTACCGTGTTACTCTTTTGGTGGCTACTGCCATCATGCCATCCCACACTTGTGGTGATTTAATCCTTTATACAATCTCAGCTTAGTGAGAGAAAGAGGGGGGTGGGGGGAGAAGAGACTGAGTTCAGTTCAGATCCTAACTCGTCCAGCTCCATGACCTTAGACAAATGGCCTTCCTTTCTAAGCTGTGGACATCCTTCTGTTCAGTGTTCCAGGGCATAGTGTGGATGGGATCACTGGGCAAAGGTGAAGGACTGTGGTGTCCAGCACAGATTGGACATCCAGTTAGCACTCTCAGGCCTGGCCCCGGTCCTCCTGTCCTTTCCCCTGGTGCTTGAACCAAACGGTCTGCACATTTGCTGTGGCCGCTTCCCAACCTACTCCAGCTGCTCTCTGGTCCCTGGAGCCTCCCAGCTGCTAGAGCTACTCTTTCCTTGGCCCCTAGCTCGGCAGCTGTCTGTAGAAGCAACAGCCTTCTCTTGGGAGCTCCCTGTGCTTAGCTCTGCATCCTCTTGGCGCTCTTAGAGTTCTTGAAGTCTCTTAACCTCTCCTACTGACCCTCCCTCACAGGAGAGTACCCGTTTGTAAATGCATCTCTTGTCCTGAGCTGCCCATGGTAGAGGTGGTCAACCACCTGTAGCAAAGGGTGTGCCACAGTATACTAAGACTTAATAGTAAAGTGATTGTAGACTATCTCACACACACACACACACACACACACACACACACACACACACACACACACACACACACGGCGGAGGTGGGGGGTGGGGAGAGACTGTTCGTTCTTAGATAGCTCAGGCTAACCTTGAACTTCTGAGATTCCCACCTTTACTTACCAAGTCCTGAAATTATAAGTGTGCTCCACTACATCCAATCCTTATTAATAATTTTGTGAAAAGTAGAGCCTGGGACTGGAGAGATGACTCGGTGGTTAAAAGTGCTTGCTGCTCCTGAGAGCAGGAGGACCAGGTTTCTGTTCACAGGTGGCTCACAGCTACCGGGAACTCTAGTTCCAAGAGATCCAGCACCCTCTTCTGGCCTCTGTGGGCACCGCATGCAGGTGCAAAGACATATGCAAAATGATAAATGAGTAAAATTAATTCTTTTTAGAAATAGGGCTGTATAATTCCAGCACTTGGGAGATGGAGGTTGAAGATTATCCTGAGCTACATAATAAGTTCCTGGCCGGCCTGGGTTATATGAGACCTTGTCTCAAAAAAACAAAAACAAAAACAAAACTCAAGAAACACAAATCTTTCTCCTGTCATCCTTTGTTTTTAATCTTTCTTTGCCCTTCACTGCTAGATTTTTACCCTGTCTTTCTGGAGTGGGTGGTGGGCTGAACAGAATAGTGTTTTATTCCCTATTGCTGCCATCTGCAATAACCACAGGGATACATCATCCGACACTGCTGGAGGGTGGGAGTCCAGAACAGGATTTACGAGGTGGACATGGAGGTGCCAGCAGAAGCTACATTCCTTCCAGAAGCTTTGGGGAGGTCTGGTTCCAGCCTGCGCCAGCTCTGCCAGGCTATACTTGTCTTCTGGCCGGGCCCCCACGTCTTCCTGTCTTCCCAATCTCGGCTTCTGTGTCTGCGTCCCCTCCTGACTCCCTCTTGGAAGGCTCCTGTGTTTCTCTGGGGCACTCTAATGACCTTAGTCCCACCTAGATGGTCCAGGATTCTCTCCCTGACTCACGATTATTAACATAGTCACAGCTGCAATGCCACTTTACTGTGTCAACTCGTGGATTCACAGGTCTCAGGATATCTTTGGGGGCCAGTGGTCTCCACAGGTGGCAGTGTTTGTGTCAAGAAAAGCCTGTGAACGCATCTCGTTGCTTCTTGTCATTGAACTTAGTGTAGAAATGCAGGGATGGTCCATTGGAGGAGCCAAGAAGTAAAAAGGTGTCACATGTGTGAATGCAGCCCTTGGGAAACTGTGGCTAAGGGAGGGGGCTCAGTGGGTAAAGTGTCTTGCCGTGTGAGCACGAGGACCCCAGTTCGATCCCCAGCACCCACATAAATGCCGGATGTGTAGGGCCATGTGCTTATAATCCTAGTGTTGGAAGGCAGAGACAGGTCTGAGGCCTCGCTGGCCAGACAGCCGAGCTGAATCAGCTCCAGGCCAGTGAGAGACCTGCCTCAAAAGTAAGCAGAGAACAAGTGAGGCAGACAGTCAACTCCTAGCCTCCTGGAGGACACATGCACACATTTGCATGAACATGTACATATACCACACACACACAACATGTGCATGATAGAAGGGTTACACTCTTTTGTTCCATTTTGTCTTAGGACCGGCTCTTGCTTTGTGATTTTCTGTGGTGATAATCTGCACAGAGCCTTCAGGAATCCTAACCCATGTTCTTCTTCTCTTTCCTCCAATGGCTGTTTCCTGACCTCCTCTCCACCCAGGATTTGCGCAAGCAGGTAGCACCACTGCTCAAGAGCTTCCAAGGGGAGGTAAGTAAGCCTCTGTGTTCACTGTATACTCAACACCTTTTATTTTCATGTTTCCTGTGACAAAATGCCAGACAAAAGCCACTTAAGGAAGGAACGTTGACTGGCTCACAGTGTGAGGGTGGGATGGGCTGGCGACCGTAGCCTAAGGCAGCTTGCTTGCATCCTCGCTCAGGAAGCAGAGATGGATGCTGATGGGAAAGGGAGCCTCGGCTCCTTTGACTCAGGCCGGGTGAGAAGCCGTGGAAGTGGGATGACTGTCCCTGAGTCTTGAAACCCCGGGGCACAGTCTCCTACTTCCTGAGCACCCTCCACCTCCCCGATGTCACAGGGACGCCTCCCTGTCCCCACAGACAGGCTGTTAAAGTGAAAGGAGGTCCGAAATACCTTTAGAAGAAGCCAATCGTAACTGTTGTCTTTGATTGAAAAGTTTGAAATTTTATAATCATAACGATTACATGTAATTATTATGGCAAAGTCATCAAATTTAACTCATGTTGAAATTAGATTGATTGATTGCTGTACTTAATTTTCTGTTTCACAAGCCCAGACAATTAATTGGGAGCGGGAGTTAACCTCAGCGTTCAATCCAACTTGAAGCATGTCTACTCCAACAGTAATTTAAACAATCCTTCACAGCCAGGCCTGGTGGAGCACTCTTATAATCCACCCAGCACTCAGGAGACTGAGACAGGAGGATTTTGTTCTAGATGTCAGCTACATACTGCATTTCCGTTCAGCCAATGCTGTATGGCAAGACCTTGTCTAAATACAAACAGACATCACACCTGGAACATACAGAGGTCAGATCCCCCGGAGCTGGAGTGAGACATGGTTGTGAGCCACCACGTGGGTGCTGGGAACAGAACTCTGGTCCTCTACAAGAGCAACAAATGCTCTTAACTGACCTGAGCCTTCTCTATAGCCCTTTCATCCTTTTAATCTGCTGAAGCTGTGATATATTTCTCCACTTCCATTCTTTACATTGTCTTAATCTTTTTTTTTTTTTTTTTAGTAGTAAAATGGTTTATCAGCTGTGTGAGTTGTTTTTTAAAGAACTAACCTTGAATATGTTTCTTTGGGTGCTTTTTTGTTCATTTCTGTTTAGCTCTTTTATCTATTTTGAATACAATTAATTATGTTTATTATCCCTACGTGAACTAAACTGTTGTACTCTTTGAAAGCTGCTGCTTAGCTCAAGACTTCCACTCTTACTTGTCTTCTAATAAGACCTTGAACTTTTACCTAAGATTTTCCTCCAGGTTCCACACTAGTACTGCCTAGGCCAGTGGCTCCCTGGCCTTGCACCTTACAGGCCACACCTTTCTCAGAGAGGACAAGGAGAGGAGAGAAAGTTCTAGAAATAGCCTTTTCTCTAGCAGGGAGTGCACTACCTTAGCCAAGGGATGGCAATCCTTATAGAGCACCAAGGATGCTGCCACCAAAGTCCCACTTGGGGAACCAGTAAGCTTCCTGGGCTTCGTGCAAAGTATAGGCAGGAAGCCTGGGTGCCTCCAGAGCAGCCACAGCACCACGGAGTCTCATGGACAGCACCGTCCCTGTTGCTCCATAGGTGGAGTCCCAACTTCCACAGTCTGTCTACCCCATGCCTCCCAAAAGCACAGGGCCACGTGCCATTGGAGCAGAATTGTACGCAAACACCTGGGAAATGTAAGAGGAAGTGGCTGAGGGTGTGGTGTCTCCCCAAACTCCTTCTGTGATGGAATACCAGTTTTTAGGCTCAATTTTGAGGGTCACTCACAAGTCGTTTTGGCAGTTACGCTAGGAGCAAAGTGCTATATGACACAGTACACACACTTCCCCCAGGAGAAAGAGTTCTGTCAGTCATTCGGGGGATAGACAGAACACTCCATTGGAAAATAGAAAATGAACAATTCCTAACTTACCTTCAGAGGCTACTATAACCCTGTTGTCAGAATCAGACAAGAACAGGACAAGAAGGAAAATCCAAGTCATTCTTACTTAGTTATAAATAGATGATTCAGGAGCCCCAAGAAAGGGAACTGGAAGGAGCCACGAGGCTTGGCATCTCCCTGTGCTGTTTGATTTAACAGGAAGATTGCATTCATCTTACTTCATAACATGGCCAGATGAATGGGGAGCTGCCACTTCACTAATGATAAGGAGAGATTTTGATAAATGTCTATTCATGAGGACTGGTTAAGAACAGCTCTTGCAGAGGACCTGGGTTTGGTACCCAGCACCCACATGGCAACTCGTAACCACCTGTACTCCAGGTCCAGGGGATCCAGAAGTCTCTTCTCCCTTCACAGGCACCAGGCATACGTGTGGTATACAGACATATTCTCAGGTGCACACATGCATGAATAAAGGAAATAATTTTAATTTTTTAAAAAATGATTAAACAAAAACTGCTAGCAAGCTATAAATAGAAAGAACCTTTTTAACCTTGCAAAAAGCTGCCTGTGTACTCCAGCAGCAGTCTCCAAACTATCTGTGTTAAAACCAATTTCTTTATGACCAAGAACTAGGAACAGGGCTCAGAGGTAGAGTACTTGACTAGGACCCCTCAACAAGGGGCAGATGGGCGGGGTTATGGCTCAGGGGCAGAGCTCTTTCATGGGATGTGTAACGTCCTGGATTTGATCCCCAGCACTAATAAGACAAATAGTAAAGTAAAGAGTCAAGTAAAACTCTGAAGACAGATTCAAAAATTTGAAAATAATCACCAAGCCTAAGTTGTCGCATAGTTGGAGTCCATGGCCAAAAGAATGCTGCACACACTGTTGCAGCCCTTACCACCCTGGACTCACAAGCGACAGCACGCAAATTTGTTTATAAGAGTTCGATGTGAGTCTCTCTACCTTTGTTTGTTTGCAGTATTTGTTTCAGAACAAAATAATCCTGTTTCTGGTTACATAGCAAAAACTGCATGGCTTTTGTTTGCTTGGTTTGTTTTGACAGGGTCTCATGTAGCCCAGGTTAGCCTTCTTTACCATGTAACCATGGAAGACTCTGAAATCCTGGTCCCCTTTCCTCTACTTTCCAAGTGTTGTATGGAATCAAGGGACTCTTGCATACTAGGCAAGTACTCTCCTCACTGAGCTACATTCCAGGCCCCCTGATGGGTTTTAGTTTGCCAGGGAAACTCGGGTGCTCCGGGAAAGCTATGGACTTAGACACACTGACAAGGAAGGTGAAATAGCAATCCCGTTCAGAGTGTCCACCATTGAAATTCCAATGGGGGTCGGGTAGGGAAGAAGAAGGAATACCTTTCCCTGCCCATTGCAAGGTTCCTGGGTGACCCTGTAACAAAAGACAGATGAGTAAGAGAAGGGTTACCCGCTCAGTGAAAGCCTCCCTTCAGAAGTAAAGACCAGTGCTGACACAGAAGGGTGCAGAGTTCAAGGCCAGCCTGTGGAGCAGGGTGAATGGAGGGCCAGCCTCCACTACATAGTTTGTAGAGATGGTTTAAAAAGCTGCATACATCTATTGTAAGCCATGTTTTTATGTATTATATATGTTATATATTATAAATGTGTATTATTGTTGTTATTTTATACAGGATCACATGTGGCCCGTGTTAACTGGCTATAGAGCCTGTAATCCTAGCACTGGGGTGCTAGAAACAGGAGGATCAGAAGTTCAAGGCCATCCTTGGGTACATAGCAAATTTAGGTCCAGATTGGGCACATGGAACCCTGTCATAAAAACTAATTTTTTTAAGGATCAGAGACATCAGAGGTACCTACAAGTATCTTTATTGGGGGCCTGTAGAGAGAGAGCTCCAGGCACTTTGAGGACAGGACAAACTGACAAACTCTAGAGGCACAAGACACAGGGACACCTTCTCCTGTGTGGCTCTCTGCCCTGGCCCTGCACCAGGGACCTCTTTCTTATCCAGCCCAGCTACCCGCAAGCCCTGGGCCCTTCTACAGTAGTGGAAGGGACCACTGTGGTTAAGGTGGCAATGGGAATTTTAATGATCTTAGAGCAAAACCCCAAGGCCCCGCAGCACAGGGTCCTCCTGAAGGTTGGCTGGGTGATGGCTCAATTAGAGGCGCGGGCCTGTGCTGAGGCAAGTAGGCCAGCTCCGTAATTGAAAGCACATTTTCCCTCCGAAGCTGCAGCTGGTTTAGCTCTGCTCATGCAGAAAAGGATATAACCTTGCATAACATAGGAAATGAACGGTTGAGAGAGAAGCCAAATTCAATTTTAGTCAGATATGTTGAGGCCGAGCCCATGATCTATGGGAGCCGGGGCCTGAGCAGCTCGCATGTGGAAAGGCGCGCACTCAGCACTCTATTAATCACGGCCGCCCGCCTGGCGCTGCCGCCCCTGTGTACAGGGGGCCACTGCGCCCGCGCTCCTCCTCAGCGCTGGAGAGCAGCCAAGCACTCCAGAAGTTAACCTCTTAAAGACCCGGAGCTGCTTTCTGTTGAATAAATGTAATTTTGTGGTCAGAAATAAATGCTTGTGATGTAGCAGGGAGCTTTGAAAACAACAGCGAGCCAAAGCTATTACAAATTGCTCCGTGTTGGGGAAGTCAACAGCACACATCAAAATTCCGCATGTAAGGCAAATTGATTTCGGCCCAGAGCTCTGCAGCTATTCAATAAAAGTCCTATTAAACCATTGTGTGTAATGAACAATCCAGAGCAAATCTAATATTTTCAGAGGGTAATTATTTTTAACGTCCTCTCGGTAGCCATCACTAGATTTCTTGGATGTTTACAGTGGGTACCCAAGTGGGGTGTGCTCTACCCAGCTGTCATTTGGCCTCTGAGCTGGGAAACCCCTGTGCATCCCGCTCCCAGCTGCCTAGCAGGCACCTGGCAGTCTCCTTGTGCCTAGAGTTAAGTGAGGGCCAGCCTGCTCCTCCAGGAGGGTGTTCCGGGGCTCTGGTGTCTCCTAGAGCCAGGCACATAGAAGATGCCTGAGAAGTTTTGTTGAATCAACCTGAACTGGTGGAAACAGACAAAAGGGAGCTTGGAAAGCATGGATGAGGGCAGTGCAATATT